ATGTCTAGATGAATATGGGAACATGTTTATCATAGGAATATTTTTTTTGGTGAACCCAGTGTTTTAAAAAGCGCATTTTCGCGCGCTATATAGCGCGCAATAGCGCATTTGAACTCTAAAACGCGATGTAGCGCATTAAAAATCGCGTAATTCCTGAAACGCGCACGTTATTAATGACGTGGCACGCCTTTCTAGCAATATCTTACGCATTTTACGCAATTGCGTATATTTCTCACGCTATTTGACTTTTCTTTTTCAATTTTACAGGCAGAGAAAAAAACAAAAAACAAAAACAAAATTGAAGCAGCCTTCAGGGACCAGGGTTCACTCACGAAACCCTCGTTTCATCTCTTCATCATCTCACTGATTCCAGGCCCTCCACTGCAACCTCCACGGCTCCGCGCATCCACCACTGCCCGACGAGAGTAGGAAATCTGCCGCCTCAGATTACTCAATTACTCAAAATACTCACACTATTTGCAAAGCTAAAATAGAGGAGAGAGAAACGGTGAGGGATGACCCGTCCATGGCATCTCGCTTAAGCTGCAGGAGGAGGAGCGAATCGCCACATGGATTTCAAGACGGAGGAGTCCACCATCAAGATCGTCCACATCGAGGCTCTGCAAATTTTCGAAGAAGAGAGTTACAGAGGCGAGGCTCTGCGAATTTACTTGAAGAATTTTTTAGAGTTGCTTTGGGAGAGACGATGGTTTCTCTTTCTTCAATTATTCTCAGTTTTTTGGAAAATTTCGAGACGGATGCAATTTTAAAAGTTCTATTTATTGCATTTTGTTTTAAAAACAAAAACAAAATAAAAAAAGGAGTGGGTCATGGTGAGAACTGAGAAAGGATGAATGGACGGGTCAAAAGAAAAGAAGTGGACTACATTTATTGAATACACATACTTAATTAATTGAATTATTGAATGTAATTTCTTATATTAATATTAATTTTGTGTTTGGGGAGTATTTAAGCTAATTTATTTTATTATGTATTTGGTTGTAAATAAATATTTATTATTTTTCATTTGTATATGACTTGCTCGAATTACCCACGCTATACGCTACGCTATTTACGCTACGCAATATAAAGACCAAAACGCGACGCGTTACGCTATACGCTTTTTAAAACACTGATTCTAACTAACGAGAAGCTGGACCAAGTTCACTTATTCCAACAGAAAAGTCAGGGCCGATCTTATTCTCTTGTCGACGAGTCCAGATTTTACGGATCGATATTATTTATCCTTAGACAAGCTAAAACTCAGTTTCACCAGCTCGATTTATCACTCACCCGTCTCCGAACTTATTTCTCAATGCCGGGGTTGAATTCAATTATCAACGACGGGACCGAGATCACTTATCAAACTGGGACCGCGTTCATTTATTTACAAGTCACTTATCCATGCCCAAGGCCGAATTCATTTACTCAAAGCGAAGGGAGTCCGGAACGAGTCTATTCATACCGACGATTGTCGGGGCCAACTTTATCAACGCTGGGGCCTAATCCATCTATACCAAAGCCGAATTCATCTTTCGACGTCAGAGCTAACTTTGCTTATTCATAACGGAGCCGAATAGATTTATATATGCCGGAGCTGGAGACATTGATTTGCACTCGGAGCTATCCCGACCCATTCATTCACGCCGAGGCTGATCATCTCTTTACGGCGTCTCTATTTTTCTCGCCGTTGAGCCTCGACTCCGGCTGAGCTGACGTCATCATTTTCTCGCCGTTGAGCCTTGACTCCGGCTGAGACGACGTCCCTATTTTCTCGCCGTTGAGCCTCGACTCCGGCTGAGACGACGTCC